CCTCCGGGGCTCCGGCCATCCTGGTTTGTTGCGTCCTGGCGGGCTCAGGCTGGGTAGGGGACTCAGAGCTCCGAGGAGGGGGTTGGAAGGGTTGGGTGCGTCGGTAAGGAATTCGGAATGCTACGATGATCACAGACTTGGGAGCCATGCATTGGGACGAAAGCTCAATGATGGACAGGGCTGGCGACAGAGGACTGGCGGGAAGAATCTGGAGACCCTGTTGAAACCAACATCAGCTTCAACGAGTCAGACTAAAACAATGCAGCCAAAAGAGATGCTCACACATGATCAAAATGACATTGAGCAATGAGCAAGGAAACCTTTTCTGCATGTGATGAGTCAGTCAAGGGCTAGAGTAATGATCATTATGATGGTCCGGCAGCTTGTTTGCAAACCCGAACGCAGCATCAGCATCGCACCACAGCATCCTGCGCCATGGGCCTCATCGTTCTACTGTGTTCCGCCCAAGTGACTGCAAGGCTGTAAAGTCCGGTCGAGGCTCTTCGATGCTGTACACCGAGGGAGAAGGCTGTGGAGCTGTTCAGAAACGCATTCGAAAAGCCTGCGGCGTCCTTGTCTGCGCCTCTGTTCAGAAGCGTCGCCAGAATCTCCGTGTCCCCGAGCTTGGCAGCGGCCATCAAAGGTGTCCCACCTCAGCCACGTCTCAACTATCCCCTGGAGAAGATGGGCAAAGACGCATCGCGGCTTTTCCGGCCCTGCACAAAGCAGCATCCTTCCAGAATCACCTTCGACAAGTGCGAAGCCTCCAATATCCACATGCTAGGTCCCTTAAAGATTGGAAACACGAAGAGCACTGAGTAAAACAGAAGAAGCTGATCGCATTCGCGATTGTGGGATCCTTCCAAAAAGTGCGCTGAGACTGGCCTGTTCGGCCATGTAGGTAGTGGAGTGGATGGGCTTGCAGACTTCTGCTTGGTCCGGTGACATGCGGGGGTAGCGGCTTCCAGTCGGGAGAAATCTCCGAGGAGCCGGCCGTTTTCAGTTCGGACCTCAAGGCCGTGTGAAGCCTCAGTGCGGTGCATTGAGGCTGCCGGTCGGGCCAGGGCTGCGGTCGTTTGCAGGTTTGGCAGCCGAGAGGGGCGCCGCCATAATCGCGATGGCAGACGGGTCGAGTACGTACACACCGAACTTCCTTCGTCAAGTTTCCAGGACTGGACTGGGCCGCTCCAGCACGAGGGGAAGCTGAAGCCCGAGCAAGAGCCACCACCGGATGGCCAAGATACTCGCGATCTTCACGCAGCAGAAGACCTCAAGGGAGGAAACCATCGCTCGAGGCCCGAAGGGCCAAGGGTGCCGCGGTGATCTTTTAAGGGCCTGGCGAGGTTTAGCAGCAGAAGGCCACTAAACTTCTGAAAGTTGAGCATCGCCATGACGGCCAAGACCTGGTTCGACCTACTCACCGGCAAGACGGAAAACTGAGGTTCCAGCAGAAGATTCACGTCGCGATGGATCTCTTATGGCTCTTCCAGAAATGTAAATGCGGTAACCCTCGCAGAATTCCATGGTTTCTCTGCGCGTTACCCGGCCCACTTCTGCTGCACTGACCCAGTATACGCCGTGGGTTAGAGCCCAGGCTAGGTTCACGGCCGCCTGTGGCACATCCTCGCCAATCGCAATCCCTGGGCTGTGCATGTCAGCAGCTCTTCAGTTCGCAATGCATGCGCGGCTGGGAACCAGACAGAGCCGTGCTGGAGTGCTCTGCTGCGACAAGACCTTCATGAGCTCAGCAACAGCCTGCCAGCCATGATCAAATCCTGCTCATTCCTGCAGCGTGCCACTGCAGACTGCCACGTGCGGAACGCGTGCAGCACTGAGATATGAAGTTGCCACTGCAGCAACCCGCTTCTGCCACTCAGCTCGTCCATCGCCGCAGCCCCCCTCGCCTCGAGAAGCACATCGAGCACCAGCGGCGAATAGCCCTGACGAATCCCTGCCGACCGAGTCTGTTCCTCGCATTCGCTTCTTCAGTGGCATTTGCAACTCACCTAAAACTGGCAGACGGGGTGCATCTGGTGGCCTCTCTGAGCCTCAGGCAATAAGAGCACTGCGGCTGTGAAATGCCTGAGTACGTCTTCATGGCGGATTGCCGCAATGGGTACATCACAGCACGAATCTCGCATGTGAAGAGAGGACAGGTAAAGCGCTGCGAAGGTTGGAGAAGGCATTCTATCAGTATGAAGAGTTTAACGCGCTCGGATCCGAGATGGAATCCAAAGCCCTCTGGAGACTCAAAGCTGACATCCGACCACAGGCTGTGCCGAGTCACCCTCACGAACAGCTACGCAAGGCAGCTTAGACCGGATGGCCTGCAGGCGGACACCCAGCGCGGGCAGGAACTCCTTAGCAACCTCCATCCTGCAGGAAGAGCGGAGAAAGCCGACCCTTTCGGACCAAAGGCCAACGAGAGCTTCCAAGATGCGCTGAGGAGCAGAATGCCCAACCGTTTTGTAGCTTTCTGGCTGCACAGGGTCTCGCAAGCGGGTCCTGCTCGCACCGTCGCAGAACCTCAGACCCGTTGCAGCAGTGACATGTGAAGCCTTGCATCCGAAGAGAAGCCACTCTCGCCGATTCTGTTACAAGTATCACAATTTAAACCAAATTTGAGGCATTACTTGAGCTCAGCCGCAGGAACGGCCCCGGCGTGAACAATGTCACCAGGCTGCAGACTCCGATCCAACAGCCTCCGCGGAGCGCAGGGCAGCGCACAGGCTCTCTATTGTCAAGGAATCCAGGTTCCACGTGGAAACGTATGCAAACATGCATGCCTTGACGAGTGCACGTAAGGTCAGGTATGCTTGGGGCACTGCGTACTCGCTGCTGGCTAGTTTCAGCAATATCTGCAGTCGTAGTCACTGCCTGACAAGTGTTTATGTGTGCTTCCACATCGTATTGTAATTTGTTCACCTTCCGACCCCTAGCCTCTCACTGCCACGGATGCAAAGTGCTCAAAGTGCACGCAACACGTCCCTGCAAACAGACAGACATAGAGGCAGACGAGCCTACCAGGTGATATCTAGACAGGTACATTCTTTCTTCGTATATAATATATGTACTACCAATACAAACCCCACACACACACACACAGACACACACACAGACAGACACACACAGACAGACACACACACACACACCCACACGCACGCACACACGCACACGCACGCGCACAACACACAAAACATGACACTGCATTAGTAGTGGGCAGAGCTTGTTGATCCGCGTGCGGGCATACCCAGAAACACATCACAAAACAAGGCACTGGGACAGTAGCAGGCGGAATTTGCCGCACGTGGGCGCACCGCATATGCTAAACATCGCTGGCTCATGGACATCAAGTAACGTTTCCAAAGAATCGCCAGAACAGCTCAAGGCAAACAACTCGCATGTCTCTACCCGTACACACACTGTGCAACTGCTTGGGACTGCTATGGTATATTGACGTCTAGAACCCCACCAGTAACTGCAATCCCAGCATAGAACAGGTCGGTCACGCAGCCAAGGCCAAGAGCATCACTTCAGCACCCGGCCCCGTTGTCGAGTTCCCGAGTCTTCCGCACAGGCGGCCAGCTGCAACACGGAAGCCGTGAAGACGCAGTCCTCCCAAGGCGGTCTGGGCCCGGCGAGGCCTAGACACTCTGCGGATTTCGGGAGCAAAGGAAGTGAAGATGGACGTGGCCCCTCAGCAACGACAGGCTTCCGGCTCCCTGCCCCCGCAGCGGCATCCTTCAGCAGATCCACTCTGGGTCCCAGAATGGGAGCGATCTCAGCGACAGGCAGAGGTGAGCGTGTTCCATATCTGCTCCACAAATCGGCGTGCAGACTGCTCAGTTGGATAACTCCGCAATACAACATCAGTCTTCACTTCGTAACGTAGTACGGTTCGCTTCCACGAGCTCCGGGCAGACATCATCATTGGCATCGCGGGGCTTGGCACCTTCCGGCCAATCCACGCAGCCTCCAGAGAGAGGGCAGGGGGTAGGGCAGCTTGCAGTTGCTCGCACGGTTGTCACGGAAGCTGGCTTCTCTAACACTCAGTCAGTGGAGCAAGTGCTCAGCAGAGAGGAGGCCCTGAAGTACCCCGGAGCACGGGGTCCTGAGTACACCGTCTCTGCTCAAGAATCCGTGGGCCAGCATTTCCAGGGCCTGAATGGCGCGGCCAAGGTAGCCCAGGACGTCCACGGCCAGCACGGCCTGTAGGAGCTCTTGGGCGCGAGAGCTGCAGGGGTTCGGTTGCACAAGGCGCTTTCCCTCAAGAAGAGACCTGCGCAGCCGTGTCTCTGAGAGGCTGGCGACCAGCCAGAGGCCCATGGCCTCCCAGACAATGCCCGCGCTTCCTCGCAAAGCCCGAGGATACATGTGGATGCGGAAGCGGAGTCTTTTGAATGGTTGGGTGACTGGCAGCGCTCTTGTAGGCGAGGCTCCGAGCATCAGGTTGTTCGTCATGGACCACGACATCAGGACCTTGGCGGGCGCGGTTGCAGGGGCCGTTCCCGGATGGCCCGAATAGCGGACGGCCTCTAGGACTCTAAGCCAACACTCTGTTCGAGGCGGGTGCTCGTCCCTGTGTGAATTCCGGTGCAAAGATGGCCAAGGAAGTTGAGGACCAATCCTAGACCAACAACCCTCACGATTGCCCACATCGTCTTCGAGCTTCAGCTCGCAAGTAGGCACATCGCGACAAATGCTTCGCCGACTTCCCAAAGGACGTAGAAAGTGTCCGGCTGCAGCTGTGCCGCGGCTCATCCCTGCTATTCTTTAAACAACACACCAAAATTCACCGGCCGTTTCGGCGCACCGGCTTCGAAAACTCGCTTCAGCAGTTCTGTCTTTCTTCAGCTCGCACAGTAGTGCCGCAAAAGGCAAGCCTGGCCAACTCCGAAGTTTCCTGAAGTCCTCGGAATCTTCAACGCTTCCCTTCAAGGGAGGAAGGTTTATTGAAATTCACCGGGCTCGCTTATGAGACCGAGGAAGACTTGAAGACTTGCAGCAGAGCACACGTCCCGGCCGATTCCATAATACTTACAACGAAGGCAAGCATCATCATGAGCATTCCTGGCACTCTCCGCACGAACATTAGCAGCAAGTTTCGGGTTACCGACAGCTTCCAGCCAGAAGCTTGCACACATCACACAAAGAGAGTCGATGGGGAAGATTCACTGGTCTTGCACTCCCGCAGGGGCCAGTCGGGGGCGTCGCAGGGCATTTCCTCGACAGATCACCAGTAGGTTGGGCTGTATGACAATGGCACGCAGGAACTTCACGAGGAGAAAATCTGGAGGGCTGTTCAGAGCTTCCCTTCAGACTCTTGCTCCTGGCTGTTGGGCTGCGGGCTCTAGCTCCCCTATTGACTCACGATCTGAGACTTGAGAGCCCTCCAAGAGCCATCCCATGTCACTGACGCCCCGGCCAAGAGGAATCCGTTGTGCAGCACATAGTAAACCTCCGGCGGCCAGTGGGGGCATGTGCCAAGGCAGAGAGATCAGTTCAGACTCTGAAAGCACTCTTATGAGACCGCATCGCGAGATAGGATTTGGCACGGCATGCGAACCCAGCATGAACCAGTCCAAGGCCCCGTGCCACCAGTACGGTGGATTTTCCGAGCCCCAGGGAGAGCTCATACTCGTAGAAGCCAGTTAGTATGCCTGAGGGGCAGCGGCATGCAGCAGGCAGAAGAACTGAGTCCCAGCGGGGGAGTCGCAGTCCGGAAACCTCGCCGTGTGCTTTGATTCCGACTGGAATGGACTTCTGGTCCAACCGCACCAACCTACCCGAGAATCGCGAGAGTCTCTGCCCCCTCGGCGGAGCCTGCACTCTCCTCCTCAGGCGCTTTCAGCATTGGCCTGCAAGCACGGCGAGATTTCGAAGCTTGCGAACTGCGTTGCAAACTGTGGCGGTCGGATGCTCTTCACTCGAGCTTCTGCGACGTCGAATGCAGCTACATGCCGCATGCCTAATGCCACGGCTTCAGCCTGCGACTCGTTGGAAGATGTTGGAAGCAGGAGGAAGCGGGCAAGAGAGGCTCTGTGCTTTACGCTTCACGTGTGCCGCGCCGAGGTGGCTGTACTGGTTCGGTTTGCTGAAGCATGGCCAACATAGCAGGAGGCGTCACCCATTGTAGCAAATTGAAACCCTCCTCGTCGTCGCCCCTCCTCCTGCTCCTCCTCTTCATCACAGTATTCGACTCACCCTTCTCCTGTCCATATCCCTGCTACTCCGCCCAAGCGGCGCTGACTATAACGCTGCGTTCCCTGCCCTGCCTGGTCTCGGAGGGGCCCTCGTTGACTATCAGCACAGAGGCATTACTGCTCGAAGCGACAGGTTTCTTCGACGCCGTCCTCGCGACGCTCTCCGCAGCTCTCTTTGGGACTGTGAGTGCCTGTGCCATCTTTGGGAGTGCATGGGCTCCGAGAGCTTTGACCGATCTTGCATGCAACAGCCCCTAACTCCAGCTTAGAAATGGTTTACAGCAGATGCCAGCAGACAAAATCTGAAGCCCATTGCTCAACTCCTAAATCCGATATGTCTACACCTCTCAGAGCCCAGCTTTTCAGCCCGAAAGATTCTGACCCTGAAACTCTGCAGACCTCAAATCGCGCGTCCTTTGGGCCACGAGGTTGCCGACGAAAGCGAAGAACTGGGCCATGGCCACAGCCACTCCTGAGAACATCATCCCAGCTAGAGATACCTGGGTGGGGGGATGCGCGCTACGACCTGCAATGTGCAAAAAGTGGGTGGTCGAAAGGAGTTTGGCCTTCATGGTTTAGTTGCATCACAACTTAGTAACGGCTCTCGGTTCCGCTGAATCTTTGAAGCTGCCAGAAGAATCGCAGCCTTCCCGCACAAGCGAAGATGTGTTGCGCAAGAGATGCTGGGTGGACGGATGTTCCAACAAGCTACGAGCCGAGGAAGTCCGGGCACCCGGGCCGATGAGGAGCAGGGCACCCAGGGCGGCATCCCGCCAGCGCTTGCCCATCATCTCGTCCTCCAAGTCGGACTCCGCCGTGGGCAGAATCTCCTCGAAGCCCGAGCCAGGGCTGAGGAGAAGGAGCGGAGAAGGACCCTAAACCCTAAACTAACCCCCAAACCTATGGAAAAGAAAAAGGAAGGCGAGGACATCTCTTGAGGGCGAGCCCTTTTGGAGGCCGCCTCTCCTTTGCACCACTCCTCAAGCTCCTCTAGGCGCTCGCAGGTGCCATGAGGCACTGCCATGCTTCACGCATATATTCAGATCATTTCAAAAATTCTACTGCCAGCTTATCTGACTGCCCTTCGGCGCTCTCGCTAGCTGCCGCTAGTTGGGTACGGCTCTCCACTCAGCACCAGAGCCCCCCACAGGGCTCCTTCTCGTGCAACGGCTGCCAGAAGGGCACGGCCCTCATGATGCGCTCCATCACAACCAGCCTCGCAGGAGCTTTCGGGATCGTCTTTTAGGGGGTCTAAGGTTTAGGGGTTTAGGCGGTTTAAAGGTTTAGGCAGTTTAGGGGTGTATAGAGGTTTATAAGGGTTTAGGGGTTTCGGCTGCAAGAGTCTAACGAAGACCTGGCCCCATACGAAAGGCTGCGGCACGCTCCTGCCCGGGTGTGGGACGACTGATACATGGTTTCATTTAGAGCACCTCTCGAAATCACGGGCTTCTGACATAGCGCCTGTCGTCCCAAGATTCCTCGAGTTGATTCCTTGAGCAAAAACTAATCAAGTTGATGCCAGAAGAGAAAACGAACGTCGACTCCGAGAAGGCAAATATCGATTTCCGAATAGAAAACTTCTTGTTGAGTGCATTCCCAAAACGAAATACGACTTTTCGAGTCGCGTCCCAAAAAGTCCGAGAATTTGTCGAGTGGAGACCTGAAAAGACCACGTCAATCCCCATGCGTGGAGTCTGGGGTTTGGGCTCCTCGAAGCTTGCCTGGTGCGTGCATTGCCGCAACCACCCTCCAGAGCTGCTTAGTATCATTTCCAAGACTGTGCTCGGCTCTACGGAACTGGTTGCCAGCGAATTCTGGCACGCCACTACCGTCGTGGTGAAGTTGTCGGAATTTGGCCTCTGAAGGGTAACAAGTTGCAGAGCTCACGAGCACAGTAACGTGGACAACGGCGGGGGCAGCAACGTGACAGTGACGCTCGGGAAAACCCAAGTGTCGTGTTTGTAGACATGTTTACGAATACTGGTCTCGACGGTTCCCTACCTCCTGCGATCTACACCGGACACACAGAGGCCGTCTCGGTTCACAAGGCAGCAAGTGCCAGATGCTCGATTTCCCACTCTCTCAAGGCCACAAACATCCACAAACGCTGAAACAATCCCCCGCACACCTGACACCAAGAGGAATGTCATTCGGTTTGCCTACTAGCCTATGCCCAAAGCTCTCAGCCGAAGAACAGGCCCGCCGTGTCCCGCCTCGGCCGCACCGCATCGGGCCTCACAGCTTTCAAGAGCTTCGGGCCCCTCGGGAGGGAGTTTTTGATTTTGGAGATCGTGCGGAAGACAGACAAACTCCAAACCCTAATCCCCTAAACCCTCATCCCCTGAACCCTAATCCCCTAAACCCTATAATCCCCTAAACCCTATTCCCCTAAACCCTATTCCCCTAAACCCTAGTCCCCTAAACCCTAGTTCCCTAAACCCTGAACCTTACAAGAGGGTTGCAATGATACAAAGCGGGAGCTAAACTGACGCTCAGAAGGAGGAGCGGACTGCTGAAATCTTAGCTGCATTCATGGGAGCGCCTCTTGAGCATTGGAAGTGCTCGCTGCTGGGGGCCAGGCGATGGCAAAGCAGAAGTCACGGCATCGAGGCCGGGGAAGGGCAGCCCACCCCTGGGTTGCTCAAGGATGTGAGCAGCCGTGCATCAAGTGTAGCATCAGCAGCAAATGCGCCAGAGCAAACCACCACAAGAAGGCATCTACAGATGACTCCAAGGAGAAAGAGGGGCTTGAAAAACGTCCGTCACCCCCGAGGACGGGGCAGTTGAGATGTTTCACAGGTGTTCACCTTCACTGCCGCAAGGCGCCGGGCCTGGCGCACGAGCGAGGGCAGAGGCAAAAAGGCATGAGAAAGCATCTAAGCCAGCATTCGATCCGATAGAAAGAGCTCATACCCTGGCTAAGTGTTCCTCTTCTCCAAGCACTGTGCTACCATGGTCGACGGTGTTCCCCTGTGGCATTGTCTTTTGGCTGTCGTAAACACAATTGACAATGATCCTTATACGAAGAATAACCATATTCGCAGCAAAAGGGATAACTCTAGTAGACGTGGTCGTCGTAGAAGGTGCCTGCAGCAGCAGCAGCAGCAGCAGCAGCAGCAGTAGCAGCAGCCGCCGCAGCCGCAGGAGCAGGAGCAGTAGGAGTAGGAGGAGCAGGAGGAGGAGGAGTAGCAGGAGGAGGAGTAGCAGCAGCAGCAGTATTAGTAGCAGTAGCAGTAGCAGGAGTAGCAGGAGCAGCAGGAGCGGGAGCAGGAGCAGGAACAGCAGCAGTATCAGCATCAGCATCAGTATCAGTAACAGTAACAGTAGCAGTAACAGTAACAGTAACAGTGACAGTAACAGTAACAGTAGCAGCAACAGCAGCAGCAGCAGCAGCAGCAGCAGCAGCAGCAGCGGCAGCAGCAGCAGTAACAGTGGCAGCAGCAGAAGCCGCAGTCGTAGCAGTCGTCGTCGTAGTTGTGGTCGTTGTCGTCGTCGTAATAAAAGTATAAGTGGTAGCAGCACCATTAAGATCATGACAAGCAAATTGTTGATATGACTCTCTTCTCAATAAGGTTGTTTTCGCATGTATTGCCAGTCTGCAGCTCCTGAAACGGCCCAGGGCTCCTCGAAATCGCGCGTTTCCAGCTGCCACAATGGTAGCACGATGGCCAGACCTCGGCGAGCCCACCTACCTCTGCGCGGATGAACATCACTAGTCACATCCTGGCCTGGTCCTTAGCTGTCCGTTGGTGTGTTCACCTGGGCTTTTGCTTTGATGCTGCCGGTCCTAGAAGAATGGCCTCCGGCTGAAGTGCATCCAAAGCAGTCGTATCACCAACGGGCTATCCCAAGAGAGCAGCTTGACTTGGAAGCCCTGCAACCGCCATACCCACAAAACAGGCTTGGCAGTGATGAAACTTGATTGAGCCGAAGGATATTTCCTGTCCTCTCAGAAGTCATGAACACCCTAAACCCTAAACCCTAAACCCTGAACCCTCAACTAAACTTCAATGTGAAGACAAAGGAAAACCCTTTTGTGCAATCCCCGCTCGGGGCTCCGACTCGCCGCCTCGGCTGGAGAGGTCGAAGGAGGGTTTGGGGCTATATGGGATTAAGGCCTAGGGCCCAGGGTTTAGGGTTTAGGGCTATAAGGGGTTCGTTTAGGGTTTAGGGTTGTAAGGGATTAGGGGTTTAGGGTTTAGGGTTTAGGGGGGTTCGACGGAGGGTTGAGAACTCGCCTTCAACTTTCACGTCGGGCAGCTGGGTCCCCAGGTCGGATGATCCGGACCTCCACACCCTCGCTCAGATCCCAGAAGCCAAACCCCCTTGCAGCGAAAGCTCCTTGACAAAACCAGACCAGTACTTGGTTGAGCTGCCCTTCTCACACGCTGAGATGGACATATGCATTGATCACCCAAAACCTTTTAAGATTTTGCTTACACCAGTTCCCAGCACTTGAGGATCGAACACTGTCGAACCCATGCGAAACATTCCACACATGGCACTGAATTTGCTCAAAAAGGCATGACGAAGAAGCCCTCCGATCCCAGGAGAATTCGAGGCATCACCGGGCACCGAGCCAGGCTCACTACGCGACCGAGCGCAATCAGAGCCTGCAACGAGCAGGAGATCCCGCAAGGAATCGGCTGGAAAAGGATGACTTTCCTTCGAGTGTTGACCACGGTCAACATGGACCATCTCAGATAGAAGCCTCGAACGGCTACCTCATAACCATCTCGGGCATTTTTTGCAAGTCAGGACAGAAAAAGCACGAAAGGGCAGAATACCGCTACTGTTGTTGCTGCTGTGCTGCAGCTGCTGGCAGTCTTGGTAGTGGGAGTCTCGGTGGAGATATTGCTGGTGGATCTGCTGCTGCTGGTGTTGCGGGCGGCCGGGGTTGGCGGCCGTCACGGAAGCATCTGGGCATTCAGCTTGGTGGAACCACGGTCAGTCAGCCAAGCTGAGTGCCGAAGTCGTTGGCATACTTGGGAAAGCCTTGCATCCCCGGAGACAGGCCCTTCCTTGCAAGATGGGCCTGATCTATCTATAAAGTTCATGCTTCAAGACGCAGCGCTCCACAGCATGGCTGTCGTATTGGGAAGTGAACATGTAAGAACCGACATTTGCACAAGGAGGAGGTGGAGGCGGTGGCGGCGGTGGTGGTGATGACGGTAATGAAGATCGTGAGCGCGATCGAGAATCATCATGTTCTTCTCCTTCATCATCACAACTAGACTCAGCATCAACATCAGTATCATCAGCTGAACCAGTACAGAATCATAATCATACACATACTCATAATCATATGTTATTGACCATTGAAGGTCAGCCTGGACGCTGCGACAAGCTGAAGCCACCCCTTTCAGAAGGCCAAGGTGGTGGGCGGCACAACACATCATCATAATCGAATCATATCATAACCTTGGTCCTGAACATGATTGCCAGGAATACAGCGGCTGTGATGGTGGTCATGTTGACAGCGATGCTGACGACAGAAAGAGCAGCTCCGCACGGAGTAAAATAATAACTAGTGCGAGAAGAGGAGGAGGAGGAGGAGGAGGAGGAGGAGGAGGCGGCCAATCCGGTCGAAACTCTGAAGCCCACCTGGCAGGTGATGAAACACCAAGAATGGTGAAGTCACCGTGGTTCCAAACACCGCCAACACACAAACACCGCAGCAGTAGCTCTTTCACTCTAGGACTGCACTGCACCAGTCAATGCAATCTTGGCCTTCGCATGGGCCATGATGTCACCGTACCTGCCCGAGCGATCTCATTCTCACTTGTTGCGGCAATTGCCGCCGGGGCTCCGACGAAAGGGAGCAGCGAAGATGATGGGGCGCAGATGGGACTGTTCCGCGGCTTGAGCCAGAAGAAGCAACCACAAGCGCTTCGAGATGCCAAGAGATGGAAGCTACATTTGCCAGGCACTGTTTGCCACGTATGACTCCTGCATGCACGCGTCCACGACACCGTAGTCACGAAACATACTGTAGGCACACGCGGGGTTTATTGGCACTTGCGCATGACACGTGCCTGTTCCCATGGGTGTATGGGTGGACCAGGCTTCGAGCCAGCTCTTGCCCTCACTCAATCTCGCCGGTACGTTTCCTCTTGATGCGGCTTCGAGATTCTGAAAAAAGGCCAGATTGATGGGGTGCAGGGTCCAGGGTTGAAGGACGTGTAAGGCTGTTAATTGGTGATCAG